CGGTATGTATACATTTTTTGCGCAGAGTTTTTTTTAATGTAAACAGAATAGGCGAAGAGAATTTCTTGCCATCAAAAAAACGTACTGGCGATGTTGCCAAATGCAATATAATATATAATTATCTAATTTTGAAAAATACACTATTAAGAATCTAGTATCACAAATATAGTAGATAACATAATTTAAACAATTCCAAGAATTTATTTCTTTAAGTATTTAATTTAAGTTGCAGTGTTTTGAAACAGCTGGAACAGTTGGAACTGGAACTGGTATAGGATAGCACATAAACCTGTTCCAAGCCAGTTCCAAAACAGACCTGTTTCGAAAATAACAGATCCTGTTCCAAAGCGTCATCACTAAGAGCGAGGATAGGTTAAAAACTTAATTTCTTCTCGCACGTTTTTTAATTGCTTCCATTTTTGAAAATGTTTGTATTCCTTTTCATAAGTTTTTCAGGATTTAAATGGAAGTAGTTTGGATATGGCGTTTGTCGCCTCAGCCTGAATATCTGTAGGTAATTTACTTATTTCGTTTTGAGCCATTTCTGACTCCAAGTCAATCAGCAATCGACATGAAAGAAAATTAAAAAATATTGACTCAAAACTGACAACTAAAGAGACAGCTTTATTTATTTGTCAAATTACATAGTAACCAACGCCAACCCAGCACAATATTTTCAGCGCCTATATCAGCGCCTAAGTATATAGGGGGAGGTCAGGAAGTAATAGTGATTACATGTTTTTTTAATCTTAAAAATATAGCATAATCATTACAAATGATCAATGATGTTTTTATCAAGACCCGAAAAATCAGAAAATACTATTAAATAGTAAAATTACTATAAACAATCATTAAACTTAATTCATAACCTCGAAATTAGTGGAATAATAAGTGGTTTAAATTAAACCCTGTACTTAAAAATATACGATCATTCGCAATGCCTAAAACATACAATTAAAATTAATAGAATGTCCTAGCAATAGCTTGCGGTAGGCAGTTGTGTCCATAGAGAAAGCCTAAAATTAGCTTATAAAACAATAAACATTTTAATTCTAACCACAAATTCTCTTAACGCATGATAATGAATGGCCAAAATGGCATTACTTCAAACTTTTGAAGTATCATTAGTGGAAAAAGTTAAAAGTTTGATAATTTTTTCTACTAATTGAAAATTACTACCACTAATTTTGAAGTTTTGAATGCTGACGTTGAAATTAAATGAATAAACTTTTACGCTAACTGAGAAACCACTAATTTCTAGAATCTGAATCAAGCTTTAAAGTCAATTTTTATCATACTTCAGAGCGCTGAGCAAGTGTAAATGTATATTTCCGATTTCATTTTAACATAGACACCTCTATTACAATCTTTGACGTCCAAATAAACTTAATTTACTATAATAAAACTAAATATGATGATGGATACTATGTTAATGATGAGAAATACTCTCATACATTTTTAAAATATTTGTTTTGTTGCTTTATGACGTGAAATCATAACTCTGAATTGAAGGAAAAATATTTTGACAGCTATTTACACATAAAACTGCATATATATTCGTATCTACGTACTACAAAATTATAGGTAATTTATCAATACACATGAATCAAACATATTTACATCACTTCAGAAATTCTGGTTCATAAATTTTATTTCTCATGCATCGAGGAAATCTAATCAATAGATATAAAAAGGAATAGCATTTGAAAAGTAATACGACACAATCGACTTTTTTGCATTTTCTTTGAATTGATAATCTACAGATAAACAATCAGTGATTAAAAAAAATATTTGATTTACTGTTTGTTATGTTTTATGTTAGATATAGAATGTAGATGTAGATTGTATAGGAGGGGGGAAGTTATAACACATTATACGGTCTCAAGGCTTTGACAAAAGCCAGTATCTGAGACGGTTTTACAGAGGTTAGTTTTCCATCTCCGATATCAGTCGTACCAAAGTTTACGGCTCGAATGGTTGTCGATCTTGGCGCACTCAGTGATGAGATGTTCTGTTATAGATATGTAGTAGTTTTATACAAGTACTAACAAAAAGTTATTACTCTTCAAAACAGTTAAAACACATGTAGGTGGCGCCCCCTACAAATAGGAGTCATATTGACATCAAAATCAAATTTCTGACGTCAAAAAACTCCCAGACACCAATTTTCATCCAAATATTGACGTTACTTAATAAATTATTTGGAAAAAATCGAATTAAAAATGAAACTTCTACACCCTGTATCGCCGAAAATCGACATTTTAAGGCATGCATTTATACGAACTTTTTTACTTATTTTCATCCACAGAATACGCTGCCGAAGTTTCCGGAATACAGTTCGGACCACCCTGTATATATATGTATAAATACTTACTAACACTAGCATCATATTTCCAGATAGAAAGAAAAATTTTGACAGATTATTTACACGTAAAATATAATATTTATTTCCATACGTTTTATACACAAAAATAACGTATGATCGAGAAAAAACGGCGTCAGCGATGGCTATGGAATGAAGATCGCTGTCATTTTATATGTAAATTTATATGAGAAATGTAATCGATGTTCATTTCCCAGCCAACTGGACGCCGTTTTTTTCGATCATACGGTATATAAAGAATACTAAATTGGACATATACAGGGTGGCCCATCGAAAACGTTCCGCAAGGCATAACGGCCAGGATAATTTTTTTTTCAGAAAATTCAAAAACACGTCAATTCTGTTTGTGAGGGGGACAACTTTTGCCCCAAAAATGATTGCAAAATCTTCAACCCTCTAAGCGGGGGTGTCATCCCCCGATTTTTTTCAAATGGGAAGGGGAGTCAAGTGGTACCGCAATGAAAAGGGCTTTCTATTCTCTATACTTTTCTGCTTCGTTTTTGAAGATCGGTCGAGTCGTTGGGAAAATATGAAGGATTGAAATTTGAAAAGTTTATTTAAACATTTATCAGAGTAAATGATAAGGATAAATTCCTTCGACCAATTTGCTGTTTTTTCTTATTATCTCTAGATGTTTGCAATCGGATTGCGCAGATATTCAATGAACGCTATCCTGACAAACACCTTTATGGCAAAATTGAATAAAAAGAGGCAGAGGGAAAATCCTGTAGTAAATGAAGCTATGGAGGTATTCGTATTGGGCCAAGTTGCCATGGACAGTATTCTGAGTACAAGAAAATTAGCCAATGAGACCGGCGGGAATCGTACAAGTTTCCAAAGGATATTAAAAAAACACAAGTTCCACCCGTACAAAATTCAATTGGTGCAAGACCTCAACGAAGACGATTTTGATCCTTGCTTGTAATTTTGTGAAGCTATGAGTGAACAAGTGGCGAATGATAATAATTTCCTATTTAATGTGTGTTTTTCGGATGAGTGTACTTTCTTTTTGAACGGTGTAGTTAATCGGCACAACTGTCGGTACTGGGCTGAGAACAACCCCAGGGTTTTTCACGAGGTGCACACACAAAACCCTCAGAAATTGAACGTGTGGGCTGGTATTTTTGGAAATTCTATTGTAGGTCAGTTTAACGATATTGAGAAGAACTTCAACGTACAAGTCACAGAACAGCTATCTAGCAACTACCGCACCTGATCGTTCAACGTTGTGGCAAGTGAAAAAATGCGTAAACATCTAGAAATAATAAGAAAAAACAGCAACTTGGTCGAATTTATCCTTAATTATCATTTACACTGATAAATGCTTAAATAAACTTTTCAAATTTCAATCCTTCATATTTTCTCAATGCCTCGACCGATTTTCAAAAACGAAGCGGGGAAATATAGAGAATAGAAAGCTCTTTTCATTGCGGCGCCACTTGACCCCCTTTCTATTTGAAAAAAGTTGGGGGATGACACCCCCGCTTAGAGGGTTGAATATTTTGCAATCACTTTTAGGGCAAAAGTTGTCCCCCTCACAAACAAAATTTTTCGATGGGCCACCCTGTATGTTTATCATTTTTTATGGTATGATCTTTATCGGAACTTACTTTTCCTGAAGGAAAAACTATCTCTGATATACCGTTTCTTATTTTTTTTTAATCATCTCCTTATAGATTCAATTTTCATTTCTACACTTTCCTTGTTTGCCGGAGAGTCTACATTTTACTTAGCATTTTGCTATCAATTTATTATAGATCTAGAGCTCAGATCTAATTTGTCATAGACAAGAAAAAAATGTTTCTATTTTAAAGACAATCAGGGGACAAATTGTAGGAAGTGTCTATTATACATACATTTTGCAGAGTTAAAAAATATATATAAATAAATTCAAAATGAGGAAAAAAATTATTTAATGATTTGTATCGATTAAAAAATTAATAATTAATTTTGATTTTACTTAATAATTAAAAGGATGTAAGCTTCATTCAGAACCTCGCAGTTAGTGGAATAAATTAATGGTTTCAATTAGCGTAGAAGTTTGTTCCTTTAATTTCAATGTAAGCATTCAGAACGTCAAAATTAGTGGTAGACATTTTCAATTAGTAGAAAAAGTTATCAAACTTTTAACTTTTCAACTAATTTTACTTCAAAATTTGCGGAAAATGTCAGTTTGGCCTTTGATTATCTTCCTTCAACAGAAATTGTGGTTAAAAATCAAAAGTTGATTGTTTATAAGCCAAATATTAGGCTTTCTCTGTGGATACAACCAAAGATATTTAAATTCACAGAGTTTAAATATCTTTGGATACAACTGACTAATATAAAAAATATTGTGAATGATCGTAAACTAAAAAGTATAAAGTGTAATTGAAACTACTAATTTATTCCACTAATTGGGAGGTTCTGAATAAAGCTTTATTTTTCACACATTAATTAAAAAATATTTTCATCTTGTAAAGACTATCCAGGGACATACTATACATTCAAGTTTACACAAAAAATTAATTAATTATTCATAATTCAGCCAACTAAATAAAAATTATAATACTCATAACTTGGTAAAGTATTTCCAGATGGACAATAAAACATAATTTAAATTTTCCAATATATTTACCCAAAATAAAAAACACACAACTGGACGCAAGCTGCTCTCTGTCTCAACAACAGTCCTCCAGAAACTCTACCTCTCGAGTTTCTCTATCTCTATCGGAACTTGGTCTTCCCGAAGGAAAAACGATCTCTGCCACGGTAACACTGGATGTGTCGACGCGATTCCGACGTTTCGACAACACTGCCGTCGCGGTGCCGCGTTCTTTCGAGCGTCCCGACGCCGGCCGCTCTCGTGGCTTCGGGAACATGCGCCGTTCCGGGAGAGCGCTCACGGGAAGCGGCCACGCTTTTCGCGGAACAGGTGAGATGGTTCTGGATGAGGCTGGGAGGAACGCGAGAAGCTGGCAAGGTCGAGTAATTTGGCGAGTACCAGCAGTTAAACTCGATAGATAGAAGCAAATGGTTGGACATTTTGACATTTTTTTTTCAGCATTTATTAATTTTTTCTTGAACACTTCATCAGTTACGATCTCTTTAATTCCAGTCTTTTGAACTGTTGAAATTCCTATTTTTCTAAAGCATCAGCAACTCGTTATACCGTGTGGTGCATTGGAACGCGGGACATAGGAAATGTCAAAAATTATCTCCCCAGGTGATTTTATGCAAAAATTGTATTAGACTTTTTTGAAGAGGCGTTATAATTGTACTGTTGTCTAAAATTTTGTTTTATTTGAAATAGGTATCTAAAAGTTATTCCGTCTTCTTAAGGTTTACCTCCAGCCCCCACTTGTTATACTCTTCAATTAGTTTGCGGGTCATATATTCCAGGTCCTCGTAGTCTTGAGCTAGTATTATTTGATCATCAGCGAAACAAAGAGTGTAAAGTATCGAGTCGTTTAATGGTATCCCCATCTGTTCACACTTCCTTTTCCACGTTTTCAGAGCTTGTTCCAAATAGATTTTAAACAGTGTGGGCGATAGACAGCCCTATTTAACACCTTTGTTTATGCTGAATCCCTTTGATACTGTTTGTCCTTTCTTTACTTGGCTAGTGTTGTTCTTATAAAGTTCTTGGACAGCCTTAATTAATGTTATGCTGATATTCGTTTTCTCGAGGGCTTCCCACAATTTAGACTGGGGTACACTATCATATGCTTTCTTGAGGTCTACGTAGAGGAGATGTATTTCTTGATTTCTTGCCATCTTTTTCTCAATTATCTGTGTCAGTGTAAATAAATGGTCGACCGTGGATCTACCAGCTCTAAACCCCGCTTGTTCTTCAGCCTCCATATCCCGGTATTCTTCCTCAATTCTCTTTTTGACCAATTTTCCATAGACCCTTGAAACAGAGCTCAACACGGAGATTCCTCGATAGTTATCGCAATCGTCTTTACTTCCTTTCTTGTGTATTGTTGTTATATATGATGTCTTCCATTCTTTCGGTATATTTTCACCATTAAGGCACTTTTGGAAAAGACTAGCGAACTGCTTATATAATTTATCCGTGCCGTACTTGAGTAATTCTGGAGGAATTTCACCTGGACCAGGCGATTTTCTATTTTTCAGGGTTTGGCAAATTTGTTTTACTTCTTTGGTATTGATCCTCAGTGGAGAAGCTGCGGTTCTTATTTGAATGTCGGATTGTGGCTGAAATGTTTGTTGATATTCGGCACTTTCTTCGGCACTTTCTTCGGCACTTTCTTCGGCACTTTCTTCGGTTTCTTCGGTGGCACGTACAAAGAATGGAAGAGAACAGAAAGATCCTGTGGTCTTTTCCTACTGTATCCCCAATAAACGGGAACCAATGTTTTTCTTTTCTTCAACAGGAAGAATATTCAAGTCGTTGTTTTTTTCTTCCTGTTCAATTATTTTTTTTCACACTTCCATGTGCTTAAACCTTAGTGCCTTTAGTTTCAAACCTCCGCACAGTGTGACGAAATCGGGAAATGCGGGACATTAGCCCAAAAAACAAAACAAATAATTCATCAAGTTTTCTATATAGATGGATAAAGGACATCCCAGAGCTCCACCATGTAAGATATTTCTTGAGTTGTCCTCTTAGTTGGGGAGTTATGGCGGGTTAAAGTTATGGTTTCCTTAATTTACCAAATTTGTACAAAAAATTTCATACAATGAAATTTATTATTTTCAGAAGTTTCCTTGTGTTGTTCAATTCTAACAATTTTTTCCTTAAAAAGAGGTCTTTTACCAACAACAAACCTGAAAAAAATGTCCCAATTTTTTTCAAGTTTAGTTTCTACATGTTTATTATGACTTCCAAAAAAACGCTTACATTCGCGCAAGGTTATATATACAAAATATCATAGAGTGAACCTTCTAGTATACTGTTACATATAAATTTCATCCACCTAGATCCGAACCTGGAAGAAAAAAATAAATTTTTTCGGCAAAAATTACGTTTTCCATTGATTCGACCGTAGTTTGTTGACATGAAAGAGACAGCAGAACTATTTGTTTCCCTTTACGGTTGGTATTATATCCCTTCAAGCATTCATATGCTTTTAATTCATGGTGCAAATATCTGTGAACGTTGTCAATTTATACCCATCGGCAAAATGTCCGAAGAAGCATCTGAATCAAGAAACAAAGAATTTCGATCGTTCCGCCAAAAATTTTCCAGGAAGAGTGGTCGTAAGGAAACTATTGAAGATATATTGCACAACTTATTGATATATTCAGATCCTCTACTTTCACATCTGCGACCAAAGCACTCTAAAAATAAAAAAGTAGACTTGTTTCCGGAAGCAAAAGAGCTCTTGTATATGAATGGAGAAGAAATTGAGAATGATTTTTAAACATGTTTTATGTAAGTGCCTTACATATTATGTTATTTTGGAATAACATACACCCCACATAAATTATCGCATCACTTATTAATTTGGAAAACTGCAAAGTATTTTTAAATTCTCTTGGTTAACAATAATCTCAAAAGTTATTTGCTTAATAGCAACTTGTTAAGGAATGGAAAGTATATCATAACTCAGGCAGACCTTAGATTTAAGTTTTTCACATAAAAATGTTTGAAGCGTTTCAAGAATAAATACTACGAAAAATATAAGTGTTGCGAAATTTTTTGTGAGATGTGTATTATGGTTTCTTTTGTTGAAGTTGAATACGTTTTTTTCGCATATTATCATTTTATTTAATACTGTTAAAAGACATTTGCCACTTGTGTCGTTCTCTTTGAGTTTTGCAGTCTTATCTAATTTATCCCTGATTATTTGAATATTTAGGAATGTTGATTGAGTTTTGACATATTAGCGGGAGATAAATGATTGTTCAACAGTAATTTGCTAACGTTTGTGGTCCATAAGAGCTATAAACTCTTCGTAAATAAAAAAATATACCTGTAAAGTCCTTTTATAAACCTTCGTAATTTTTTGACCTTCCATTACGCCTTTTTTTACTTTTTTCATCCTGTAGCAAAAATTCCTAGTCTTTTTGTCAAAAAATTTCAGCAAGAATAGTGATAACTGAAGAAAAATGCCAATGTTCCACTATTTTAGTTTTCGTTACACTGTGCTCCGGTTTATTCTTTAAACTGGGAGACTGAGCTGCGGACAATGCTACAACACAGCGGAAACCCTATTTCAAGCAAAATGCCGTTTAACCATCGTAACTTTCAAAAGTTGCAAAAATCTTAATTATTTTATATAAAATTACTCAATTTGGTACCTTCAAATATTTGTAAACAAAATATGACATCGAATTTGACAATGACCCAATCACATTTCTGCTGGTATTTTAATTGTAGCTTTCTCTGGACCGTATTATAAATTTCACTAATTTGAAGGTAGATTTTTGCAAATAACTTTTAAATGACTGTTCCAAATGAAACGAAATTCTAGTCATAAGTACAACTTTAACGCCTTTTCAAAGAAGTCTAATACAACTTTTGCATATTATCTGGGGAGATAATGTTTGATCTTTTTAAAAAAATTACATGGGATTTCCTATGTCCCGTGTTCCGATGCACCACACGGTATATTATATTAGGGGGTTTCTCGAATAAGTGATTCACACACACATATATACACCTTTTTGCTATTTTTTAAAAACAATTACTGAATATCTGATAGAGATATTTTTCACAACGGTTTGTGTTTAATCTTCTCAACGTAAAATTAACTGTCGGTTTTACAATATAATATGTTGAGAGAGTCATTTCGTAAATTGAGATATCTATCTTAACGTTTTTGTGTTATTTGATGCATTGAAATGCAAACCGACCCAAATAATATCTAGGTTTATTAGGGCGCCTTCGAAGAGATCGTCATTTATCTTAGCGCCCGATCCGGATCGATTATCCATTATCAATTATCTGTTGGGATATTCCTGGATACTAATGAATCCGAAACCGGCAGTCACGATCACCTTGCCATCCTGCAGCTGTTTCCTACTGTAATTTGTTACAGTTTTGAAAGGTTCGAGTTTAATTATGACCTTTTGGGTATTGGAGAGAACATGGCTGTGACAAAAAAGATCGGAAGTAGTTAGGTTCCAGTCGGAGTCAAAGAGTTTTTGTTAATATACAGGGTGTTGCAATATTCCGTAGACACAGCATTACCACGTATTATTAATTGCTGTAACGTGTTTGCAACTAGAGCGCAGTCATCAGCGTATTGAGAGAACTCTGTGATGAATTTTATACCTGTTTTTACCCGAGTTTTCTTATGATGAACAGACCGCCGCACAGTGGTTTCGGCAATGGAAAAAAACAAAAAGTTGTTAAATCGGGTTTAAATTATCCTATCTTACATCGAGTTAGTTCAAAGACAATATAATAATATTACTTTTTAATTTAATTACTAGTTTTGAATTTACAACACCTCGTTTTTGACAATTTTCTTAATATACGAAACGCGCAAAAATAAAAGCGAAAAACAAGTAATATTTTACAGCCCTTCTTTTAATTTCTAAAAATCGGTATTACCCAGGAACTGTTTCGTATATCCATGGGCATTAAAAGTAAAAAGCATTTTGCCAAAATATACCGTGCCTTTGATGCAGTTTAGTTTGAATCTATTTCTAATAAAATTACTTTACTTCTTACTTTAATCAGACTAGAACAAAAGCTTTTACCGAGCTTTGGTCTCGGATTAATTTGACTAAAAAGAGCAACTGTTAAAGTAGTGATTCTATAGATTTTATCGCCACATTCGGCCACGTTTGTTAAAATTTTAAAATAAAAGATAAACAG